CCAGGTTGGAAGGGGCCTCCAGGGATCATCCTGGAGAAAAATACAGGCACGCAGACCTGAAATATTGCAAAAAATAATTCAGTGCTAAATATGAATTAATCTTGAAGAGTTTATTCAGCCTTTCTGACCGAAAAGTCCAGAGTTTCCCTCAGAAAAGCAAGAAATAAAAGAAACCCTTTCTTTGCCTCCTTGCAGAGAGAAGACTGATGCGAATTAAGGGCTTGTCCCAGGAGGTGACCTCCAAGGAGATGCTGCGTACGCTTTCCCAGGCCAGGAAGGAATGCTGGGACAGGTTCCTGCAGGAGAAGGTTGAGTCCGAATGTTTCCTAGAGGGACATGAATCTGATGAGAGGTAATAAGCAAATTAACCAAGGAATCAACCATTCCGGGCAAATCATTTCTGTTAGCCAATAGATCCCACTTTATTTTGTAAAAGTAAGGTAAGTTCTGGCCAGGAATTGTTCCAGGGCATCGTGAGGAAGGATAATGTTTCACTGCAACTTGGCCAAGGTTGTCGCAGCCTTTCCTGAAACGGTCAGGAAAATGGTAAATACCATTTCCCTCCCACGTGCAGGAAAATAGCCAGAACATTTGCAGTTTGAACCTGCTGGATGATTTCCCTCGTTGCACGCAGAGCAGGGATTCTTTAAAGCATCTCAAATTATTGTTGTTATGATTTTTAAGCTTAACTTTACAAAGGAATCCCAGGCCATTCCCTGCATCCTTGTAAAGTCCCACCTAAGCACTGCTCCGGGTGCAACCTTTTCTTTGAAGCTCTTTACTGGGTTGATGCCAGTCCTGAGATTGGCTCTCCCAAATAACTGGCTTTCAGTTTGGTGCCTGTCTTAACAGTTCTTTTGCTCTCTCCCCCATTACCTTTTCTTTTCTTTCATGACAATATGAAAGTCTCTTTCTTTCGCAATCTCAGGTTCTCAGTCGCTTAAAATGTTCGCAATATCTTCGCTTTCTGAGCTGGCATTTTTCATGATTGCTTCTTGCTGAAAAGAAAATCTTTTTGCCTCCTTTGAAGAAAATCTGCTCAAGCTAGTTTTGGAGCCTAAGGGTGAAAAATAATACTTATAGGTAGATTYTTGGTTCTTTCTTCAAACCATTTAGCTTGGATGCAATATGTATTTTAAAAAGTCATATAWTAGCAGACCTGTGTGATCTTTTTATTTGGCAAATGTTTTTAAGGGCTGAGAATGTTATCCTCGAAAATTTTTCCTCACTAGAATTTGAGTAAAGGAAGGTAGAAGTCATCGCTGAGAGGTACTGAGCTATTTGATTCCCATTAAATCTGCTCTGAGATCAATCATTTAGAAATAGGCTCTAAAATATCAAGTATATTAGTGTATTAATATGTTTGTATAGTATCCATAGGAGGGCTAGCATTCTAGGGAGTATTCATACCACTCATACCACTTTTTTTTTCTTAACCTTGTGGTGTTAGTTTTGCTAGTAAACATTAATGGTCATGCTCTGTATACATGATTCATAGGGGCTTTTTTATATGCTTTTGTTCCTACTCTTCATCGCCATTGACCARGTTTGTTGTATTTTTGTATTTTTCAATGCTGGCTTTGTACCTCCAACCCAGGAAGCTGAACCCTCAATTTTATAAAGCCTTTGGCTGCAGTGACAAACGAATACTTTAGAAAAACAGAAGGTGATGTACCTGCTGAGGATTATGTTCATCAGGAAAACCAGTGAGAGAGAATAAWACCTTTCCAAGCGTAGCTGAAAAAGCCTAGCTGCAACAAAACAGCCTGAGTTCTTCCTACACTTTGAAGTGTTTTCTTTATGAGCCATGTCCTGCCTTTTAAGGATATTGCTGACAGACTCGCAGCGGGACGTCAAGAAGCACGATGCTTCTGTGTTATTGCAGTGAAGGATCCTGCCTGCTCCTCCGGCACGCAGATGAGTTTACGGTCCACAAAAGAGTCTACCAAATTGAAATAAATMTATCTGGAGCCTTCTTCTGGCTTTGTTTGTAATGCCCTTTTGAGTTTTTAGTGTTGTTTTATGTTCACTGTGTTCACTTATGTTCACCTTGTCTTGGCCTTTGTATTTTAGCACACTGGAACACCTAAAGCGGTGGCTGCAGCCTGATAAAGTGGCAATCAGTACTGAAGAAGTCCAGTGCCTCATCCCTCCGGAATCCCAGRCGGAGAAGCAGGAGACCGAGGAAGAGCCTCCTGGAGCGGAGCAGTGAGGTGCACGCCAGTCACGCCACACAGCTGCCTCTTGCCCTAATCCTGTTGCAGTTGTTGGCAGTTACAGTAAAAACAAGTTGGGGTTGAGGGACAGTGCCAAATATTGTTAGTTAAACCAGTTAAAAAATCTGTGGAGCTGCAGGGCTAGTGACTGGTGGTTGTTATTTGTAAGAGTGAAATGCCCATGACACACAGTGAGCGCTGAACTCGGGTCCTGCATTGATCTACTCCCAGCCTGTAGCAGCCTAATGATTCCAGTCCCAATGCGAATTGTGTGTAAATCAGCAAGAGAGATATTGAACAAAAAGAAAAGCAGCTGTTGAGAAGCATCAGAAAATACCGCGCTCTAGAATAGAACAGATAAACTGTGGAATTAGTTTTTCCTCCTGTTTTGTTATGATACTGGGCACGTTTTTCCTTGCTGCAAAGGACACAGTGGTGCTCTCGGTATCTGTGTTTGGGCTGGCTCTGAGCTGTCTGGAGCAGGATAGGTATTTTTCATCTATCTGAATGTGGAGTCCTAAAGGAACTGTCATTGTCAGAATTGAGCAGATATCATTATTGAAGGCTACAGAAGGCTATTTAACATTCCTCTTTCTAACATACCCTCTTGGAACATCCYACTTCACTGGTCATCCAAATCCTCTATAACAGAATAGACTGGAGAGGGAATAATTTTGCGTTGCTTGTCCCTTTTTGTCCCTTGCTTTTCTGTCTTTTAGTCTCACTGAGAAAGGGACAGATGAGATTCAGTATTCAGGAAAATAAGTGTTAACCACACGGACTGCAAATAACTTATTTTCAGCACAGGCTTGCAGAGGGTTGTCTGACTTGAAATGTGCTGCCATGTACATTTCTCTGTCATCCCGTTTAGCTCTGCAGAGGGTTCCCATCACTAATCAAAACATCTGTAATTATGAAGTGGTCTAAGACTGACTCTGCTTTAAGCTGTGCTTTCCCTCCTAACATTAACACCAAAGGTCAGTAGAGGGAAGCAACCTAYGTCTCCTGGTGGGTAAAGCTCTTTAGACAGAACCTATAGGGTGATTCTGGTAGCTTATGTGGACTAGACTCATATTCAAGGTATAACTGTGTGAAAATACATTTTTAAACTAGCTCCTTGATATATTTTCATTGCTTTTTGTCTCTGTGCAGTTACAGACGGTGCTGTTGTCTCATTCACTATGACCCTATTGCTGCTTCTGCCTGTGATTTTCAGTGTTGTGACTTGGGGCTTGTCCCCGTGATCTTCTTAATCAGTGTAACTGCCTACCTCAACCTTACTATTCACAAAGTAAGATACACTCAKAGTTCTCCAAGTGCATTCTTCATTATCCATTCTCTGATGAATTCTATTCTCTATACATTCTTCATTTCTTCATTAGGGCAAGCATACACTTTGAGATTTGAGAAATACAGTGAATCATCTGAATGTCAGCCAGTCTGCCTTGTTGGAGGGCTCTTTTGTCTTCTTTTAAATGTCCTTGTTAATTTTTCTGAGGTTCCTGATTTGTTGTGCATTCAAATACAGTCCTGTATAGACCCTACCTCCCACTGCATTGTCAGGCTGTAATGAAGACACTTCTGAGTATATGCCAGAAATAGCATGTGCAAGGAGAGAAAAATGCAATTTTCTTTTTTTTTTTCTGTAACCATGCTGTTTTCTAGTCAGTACATTTCCCTTTTGTGATTATAAATGGATGTGAACATGCTTTACATTATCTTGTCTCTCCCCATTAAAATCGTCTGAGTTAAAAAAAGCTTTTCAAACAACACTACCAAAACACTTAACATTTTAGAGCCACATAACCTCTTCTGCCTTTGAAAAAAGTGAGCTTAGAGAAAGCAGTACTGACTCTTTCATGTGAAAACAGCTCTGAAAACCCAAGAAAAATGGTTGGTAAGAATTGTCTCAATACAGAACATGAAACTACGAGTCCGTTGCCTTTTCAGTGATACCCGGTCAAGACATATTTGCGAGTCAGTGAGATCTCTGTTTGGAAAAAGGGGAAGCTTTTCCCCTTTCCATCTGCTTAGATTTATCCAAAATGTGAGACTTGCCCCTTTGGGTATCTTCTTGTGCTAGAAGATCTTTTTAAATGTAACAGTGAGGACTGGCTGTTCACTACCCCTTTGTGTTTGTAAAGCACCTTGTTAAAGGATGGAAGAGTTAGACCTCTTGCAGACATTGATAATTATCAGCAGATTCAAGGGCTTTCACTAAAAAACACCTGCAGAAATCAGCAGTGAGCAGCCCGGTGCCAGAAAGTCAAGCAAGGGAGAAGGGGTTAAATACTGTTCCTGGCCATCTGCAGAATATACATATATATATTTTTATATAGAAAATTAAGCCTTCTAAAAGCTGAGTGTCTTGAGATTGACATTTAACTATAGACCTAGAGACTGTACTCAAAACAAGGACTACATTAAGCTCTGCCTCTTTACAGTCTTGCTCTGAAAGCTGACATAGGTGACTCAGTCCTATAGTTCCCCCTTGGGACGCATAGACTTGGGGTTGCCCTATACTTGAATTGTCCTAAGAGCGATGGGAATTCRCCTTAAAAACTCTGTTGGGAAGGCTGCATCCATGGGAATGGAGAAAAGCTGTGATGCATTCAGCCTGTGTTGGGCTCAGTGTGAGACTAGCACACGTGTTTCAGTGTTGGTCTGTCTTGGTGCAAGCCTGCTGGATGTAGTTACCCCAGCAAGGAAATTACTTTCAGCAATTACTATTTTTTTCTTTTAGTTTTCTTTTTCTGAGCCAAAGAAAGAGCTGTTCAGCTTCTGTCAGTCACGAGAGCTCTTGCTGGCATGAACAGCATTTCCACTAGGGCCTTTTTGCTCGCACAGCAAGGGCAGCCTTTCTGGATGTGGAAATAACACACACACTGGGAGATGTGCCAGCCTAAACAAAACCAGCAGAGAGGAGCAGCTGATATCCAGGTAATAGCAGAGAAAAAGGCAAATTATCAGTAGGCACAGGTTGGTCCTCAGTTCAGCAGCACGTTCAGCCTGTTGCAGCAAGGCGAAGGCCCACGCTGGGAAATGCAGAAGGGCCCATTTTAGGCAAGGAAAGGAAAGGAATGCATGGGAGGAGATAAAACCAAGGACAATTATTGAGCTTGATGTGTGCTAGGAAAGGTACCGGCTGTGCAATTCCCGCAGGTCTCCCGTGCCTGTTTCCCAAGGACTCCTGCCGACCAGCACGCGGAAAGGAGGCAGTTCGCCGTGTACTTACCCAAATGAATGCAACCTGATTAGAGGGTGAATTGGCATTGTTAGCATAACGAGGCTAATAATATTCTGCCCTTCCGTCCCGCTTTTTAACGGATGGGCTCTCCACGTGGAAGAAAACGTGGGAATTTGTGGGACCCGTGGGAGGAAGGGCTGCGCTGCGGATGCCGTTGGGCCRAGAACGTGACCAGACCCAAGGCTGGCGTTGCCAGAAGCGGCTTCTGCTGCTCCTGCTTCCACTGCTGCATGTGGAGATGCTTTCCAGGTGCCGAGCCCTGTCACCTCCTAAAACCAGCAGCTATTTCTTAAGACTGGCTCCGTGCAGTGACTAATGCAGGTAGAAGCCGATGGCAAGAGTGATTATCCCGCAGCTCCTTGGAAGCGGTAAATATTAAGTCAAAAAAATAAAAGGCTTATCAGATTCTTCTGCTCTTTAAAATGAACAAAAAGCTCTTGGCCAGACTGCCGATGATTATTTTCTTCCTGCTGGTTATTTGACAGGGATGAATGCGTTTCCTTAAACCCAGCTCTCAGACAATTCACATAACGCAGACCCACAGTCATCAGCCTGAGACAAATTAGCAGGCGGCTTTTGCCAAAAGCCTTCGCTTTGCAGAACTCCTTATAGTACTGATGTGCRAATTTCCCTTCCTGCTGCTGCAATAAATATATAAAAGTAAATAAAATGATCAAGAGGAGGCTGTTTTTAACTTTTCTCCATTTAAAATAAGTTATTCTGGAAAAGATTGAAAGATCTTTCATGTGGAGTATAGAGACATCCAAAGCCAGTGGAGACGGTGGGAAATGACCTGCTTTGGAGCTGGCATCCAGGTACTGGGTCCCTGTTAAATAACAAGTCATTGGACTAGAAAGTAACTAAAATGTTGGACTTCAACGTGAGGTCCTGGAGACACAAAGACTTGTTTTTCCCTGTACGTAGAGGAAAGTCAAAGTGACAAAGCCCCAGTCTTTTCATGAGGGGGGAACAACTGGTCCAGTGCAGTAACCAGGCTGTTCTGCAGCAATATACATGGGAAGACCTGAGAGTTTGAAAATGAATTCTTTGAAGGGGTTCATTCACACTGTTTCCAATCCACTGGTCCAAGGTCCCAAAGTCTCCACGAGAGCTCACAGAGCGATTCGTGCTTCTGCTGGAGACCTGGAGTTGTGCAGGAAGAGCCTCTTTGGCAATAGATGTACACATTGGAAATATCTCCATGAAGCCATTTCCTTATCTAAGTTAAGGGTCAATGTGGGACCTGGGACTCAGCTGTGGAGGCCTAAGGAGTCAACTCTTGTCACGGTTGCTCTGAGGTAGATCAGCCAAGTTGTTTCCCAAGAGCTGGGAGTGGAAAAATCTGTTCCTGCAAAATTCTGTCGCCACGAACGCGACTCCAGAGTGGTTTTTGGAACCTGTCTGGCCTGGGAAAGAGAAGATTTTCACAGGTTCACTTGCTGAAGCCTTTAATCCTCAGCAATCTGCTTTATCTTAACATCAGCACATCCTTCAGGTCACCAAAATAGTTTTCCCGAGGGTTAATTTCAGCTCTCATTGCCAATTGTAAAACTCTAGTGTGATGCAATGGAAATAAAGTGACTACTACAGGCAGAGGGCACTAATATTATCACTGGGTACCCAGCAGCAACTCCGGTCTTGTTAGAAGTCCTGCAGGAACTTCATTTCATAACTGCAGTGAGTTATACGAGTAACACTCGGTTCCTCTCCTTTTAATCACCYGATATAACTACATTGCAACCAGCTAGGCACTCCAGGTAGGAGGCATCACCCTCCTTAAAAAGTTGTTGAGGAAGGTGAGGAGCCCTTCAGAACACGGTGCATCCAAAGTTCCTTCACGCAACAATATCTACCCCATAAAAATGAGAAAGAAAAAAAAAATCCCCAAATTCATGGCCTGCCCTTCCAAATCTAGTCAGGGAATTTGTTTCCCCTCTCATGGCATCTGCTGACAGATTTAAGCACAGCTGCAACATCAGCCGTGATTCCTCTCCGGGACTCCGGTGTTTCAGTCCAGCTGTTTCCTTGCAGCATTTTCACCCGGTGGCTTCAAGGGACAACGAGAAAAGAAGTCGAGATTGCCAGTCTCRGCATGGGTCGTGTGCTTAGAGATTTGCAGGGGTGAACGGGGTAGGCTGGAAATAACTGCATCCATCAAGGGGGTTACAGCATCTCAGGGACGATTCGGATCACTGGGAAAACAGGTTTCCTGAAAAATGAGGGACTCAAGTCCTGCTGACAGAAGGAAGGGGAAAGGAGGGGRAAAAAAAGAGCTTTCCAGAAYTACRGTTTTCTTTAAAAAAAMCCCMAAAAACTAGCAATGTTCCGTGCAAGAATGAATAATGTATGAACGCTTCGGTTTGCTTTGTATTAAAAGACATTTACGTTGCTTGTAGGGGATGCGCAGTCAAGAATAAAAAGCTAATCCTGCTACCTGCATGTCCTAAACACTCCAGTGCCTTGCAGTTTTTTTCCAGTGGAAAGTGTCAGTGCAGAAAGGGTTTTAGTGCTAAAGCTTTCCTCTCAGCCTCTTAAAAGCAGCAATAATAATGAATGGAAGCGATTTGTGGATTGAGAAGGTCTTACGCGCGTGCTGTTCTTCTGGGTCAACTCTCTTGAAAATACCGAGTTCCTCGAGCACATCCGTGGAAAAAAAGGTGACCTGAGATGTTCCGCGGGGAAATGGGAAGAGGCGTTTGGTGGAAAAGAGGCAGAACTGGGGACATTGTGAGCGGCTGCAGCTCCGGCTTGCCCCGGCACAAAGCAAACTTGGAATAATGGGATGGGGATGGGGAGGGGATACCCAGCACCGCTAAGAGAGATCCCTCCTCCCTTGGGATCACCTGGGGGCACCTCCTAAGTCTAGGAGTTGCAAATCCTACTGCCGAGGAAGCCCCGGAGCCCCCTTGCAGAAGGACCTGGACGGGAAGGAGCGGACTCCCGAAACGCCGGTAGGCGCAGGAGGGGACGCGAACACCCTGTTCCTCCCCTTGCTTTTAGTTTCGCAGCGCCGGCCCCAGCGTGGGGTGCGCCGGGGAGAGCCACAGTGCCCAGAGGGCTGTGCCTTGCGAGCCGAGCGGTCTCTGTCACATCCACGGGAATCGGGAATTGTTGGCGAGCCGGACTGCTGTCTAACCTTGCCAGGAGGCCAGCTCAGCAGCGTGGATCCCTGTGAGGGTAAGTGCGCCTCCGGCGTGTCCCGAAGCCGCGCGGATCCGCGCGCAGCCCCAGCGGCTCAGCCCCGACCCTCCGGCACCATCGCGGCAGCAGGAGAGAGGCATCTTGGTGCCGTGCGGATGGAGCGGCTCTGCTCAGGCAAAGCGCTCCCCAGGGTGGATGYGGCTCCAAGGAAAGAGCAAAGGGATGGATTCAGAGAAGGGAGAGYGCGAGCAAGGATGGGAAGCAGGGGGACCAGCTCAGGTGACCCAAGTAAGGAGAGAGCAAACCCAGCATAGGGAAGAGAGTAGATGGGTGAGAAGCTAAAAGCAAAGACGCGGGAGCCCCTTTGGCTGCTGTGTGTCCGGGAAGCCTGGGGATTGCTCTTCCTTAGGTGTCCCAAGCGGCTGGAGGTGACCTGCAGCTCCCTGCGTCTTCCCCACCGTTTGGTTAACCATTTCTTAGCCAAGTTTCGCTCATTCTGTCATGGCATCTCCATTCCRCCCCATCCCATCAGCCTGGAGGGAAGAGAGTGCAACCTGACTGCCAGGACAACCCTATGCAGACCCTATGCAGGAGACACCTGATGRGGGCTAATCCCTGAGCTACTCTGATATATGATAGAAAACCATAGCCAGCCCTAAGCCAGGACAAGCTAGAGACAGCCCAGCATCACCTCTGCCAGCCCAGGCTCATCCTAAGCCCTGGAGACAGCTTGCTCTGCCCAAAAGCACAAATGGGGCAGGTTTCCTCCTCTTTGAGACTAAAAAGCCTGTCTCTGCTTGACTTTAAGGCATGGAGAAGCAGCATCTGCTACAGGAAGGACCGAGCATGGCTTACAGTCAGCTCCCAAATGATTCCTGGCAGAACAGCTCAGCGCCTCTCTTCACAGGCCTGGACCTCCTCTTGGAGCTGAAACCGCTCTTCATCCCTCTTTACGCCACCCTCGTGACAGTGGCGTGCGCAGGGAACCTCCTCCTCATCCTGCTCATCGCCCTCACCAAGAAGCTGCACTGCACCACCAATTTCCTCATCGGGAACCTGGCGGCGGCYGACTTGGTCATGTGCCTCGCCTGCGTCCCGCTGACCGCCTCCTACGCCTTCGAGATGCGGGGCTGGCTCTTCGGCGTGTTCATGTGCTACTTCGTCACCTTGATGCAGGCCGCCACCGTGTTCGTGTCGGTGCTGTCCCTCACCGCCATTGCGGTGGATCGCTACGTCGTCGTCGCCTACCCCATTCGCCGGAGGATAAGCCGCAAGTCCTGCGTCTGCGTCGTGGCCTTCATTTGGTTGCTCTCCGTTATGGCCTCCGTGCCCACTTTGCTGCACACCCACTACCTGGACCTCAASAAGATTGGCCATGACATGATCATCTGCGAAGAGTTCTGGAAGCATGAAGAGAGGGAGAGGCTGCTGTACTCATGCTTGATGCTCCTCTTGTCCTACATGCTCCCACTTTTGGCAGTATCAGCCTCTTTCTGTGCCATTTCTTACCACCTCAGGAAGAGAAATATCCCAGGTGCTGCCTACCCCTGCCAAGACAAGTGGGCCAAGACAAAGCAGAAGACCTTCCGGGTGCTCAGCATATCGGTGGTTTGCTTTGCTATCTGCTGGCTCCCTCTCCAGGTGGTGAACTTCATCAGAGACATTGACGAGGAGTTCACCATCCTGGACAAGAGGTACGTGAACGTCATCCAGGTCTCATGTCACTTGATTGCCATGAGCTCTGCYTGCTACAACCCTTTCATCTATGCCTCCCTCCACGACAAATTCAGGTTGCACCTTAGAAACTGCCTTTACCGCAAAAAGAAGAGCTCCAGCATCTTGTCTTGCAAGGCATCTCGCTTCAATACTTGCTCCACTCTGGCAGATGCTCCTATGGGTTTCTCAGACAAGATAGCGTTGCAAACTAGATGCTCTTAACTGAAATATATGAGAAGATCGTTTTTGCTCTTGGACCTCAYGTGCTCCTCTTTGCTTTAGCTGGGACACAGAAGCCCATTGCTCAAGCCTTGTGATATTGATATGTTGCTGTTCCCCSCAAAAGGACTTTTGTGCCTAACAACTCAGAAGTGTGGGATTTGTGTCTTCAAGGACCGGCTCTTCCAAGCAATTCAAGCATATTTTGGTCTTTGTGAAAAAAAAAAAAAGAGTAACAAGAAATACAATGATTGTGCAAATGCAGAATCTGAGCCAGATGTAGAAATACTAAAGGAGTGATATGTGCTCCCAACTGACTTAATTCAAGGCTCAAAATAATAAAAAAGTGATTGTCTATGAGACAACAGTTGCTTGCACTGACAAAATAGATGTATCCAGATTAATGACCAGACACTTAACTATTCTGATATTTTTTTGTGAGCCTTGGTTTTTAGATCTCAGTGGTCAGAYGTCTGCCTCAGTTTTTGTGCTTGCTTGGTAGTGGCAACTCAAGGGTGCGACAGAAAAYGGCATTTCAGCCCCCTCTTACCACTCCTAAAAGCTGCTCAGTTTTGCATATCTCAAGGATACAATCAAGCAGTAGGAACTAATAATTTGAGCTGTAACCCCCGGAGAAGTTCTGTTTTCCTGCTCTCATGTAGATCCCTTTCTCAGAACTTTCAAGACTACTTTTGTGGCTCCTCTGACAACTTGGCAAATTTGGCCAAAGTCTTAAATTTGGCCCAAATCTCCCACTTTCCGAACACAACTGATGGAAGCAGGCAGCCAGGACTCTACTCAGAATCTATTCAGGACTTCTCCTTGCAGCTTATTTAAGAGGTGGGTCTTTTCTAAGGAAGAATAACACATATTAGGTGCATTTAAGAATGGCTTTGGTGCATGGATTCATTTGGTAGGACAAAGATTGTTCCTAAGCAACGGAGAGCATATTCTGCCTCCTTTAAGAACAACAGCTCTCACAGGTGACAGTGAAATTGCTGCGTGTGCTTTGTTGATGTTGTATTTTTCAATTGCAGCTCACTGGTAAAGGACAACATACGTTCAGCAAYGTGCATTCCTCTCTTGGGGACTGTACCGGGGCATGTGGCTGCTGAAAGCAGATATCCCATTTTGAGAGACTGGGCTGGGGAGGACTTCGTAATCTCCTAAACTTTCGGGAGAAGCCATTTGTCTAAGGAAGGCCCCAATGCTCCAACTGTTCATGTGCATGGCCACGCTTGGAGGAAGAGGCTCACTTGCCCCAAGGAGGGCCCAMCAGAAGAGCGATGCTTGTCTTTTCCTGTAATAAAGGCTGGAAAAACTCTGCCTGTGTGCTTGAATAGGTTCTACTCTAAAAAAATAACATCTGCTTTTGATATCCTTGAGTGTCACTTAATTTCAGTGCAGGAAAATAATAAATTTAGACACATTTATCTATGTTGCTGTCACTATTGGCAGTTGCCACTTGGTTTTGGTCRGTCTTCCACACAGACCCTTCTTGTGTGTCCTTGTTCCTCCAAACTGTGACTGGTTGGTGGTTCCACGCTCCTCATCTTTGCCCAACATGATCTCAACACAGCAATAGGGTGACAGCACTTAGCAAGAATCCTCTTTAATAGTTCCTGATGTTTGAGAAACGGATACAGACACCCTGGATACCTCTGTGCACAAGCAGGACCGAGAAATAAGTCACTCCTCTCCAACTTGATGCTGCTGCAGGAGAAAAGTCTTGTTCATCCCACTCAGCAACCACCTTGTCATCACAAGCCTCTCCTTGCGGAGCATCCTGGCAGGCTCTACACAAAAGCAGGACCCACACAAAGCCTTGTAGATGGACCTGCAAGCACCATAACATCCTTCCTTCTTTGTCYAAGCAGCCACAGAAAGAGGCTCACGGACCATTTGGTGATAGCGACAGCCACCACAGCAAATTGCCGGGCACATTTTAGGGTCAGATTCATGCAGTTTGAGAGATCGTACAAGCTTTGGTTTTCTGGACACTAGCCTTTATCTTAAAGGGATGGGCAAGTGGCACAAGATGTAGACTGGTATTGTCCCGAAGGACAATGAGCCTTCTGAGAAGTCTGATTCCTTTCGGATTTCTTAGAGGAAAGCAATATCCTGTTGTTTGGTCATGATCAGACAAAGCAGCGAGTCAACGCTGGAATCCAAGCAGAAAAAAAATCAGTTTTGTGTCTCTGACAGTATGTGTCAGAGTCTAGAAAAGGGAAAGTCTATGGGTAAGATCCCAGCCTTTCCCTTGCACAAGGGTTCTTCCACTTTTGCTAGTATTTTGGCCCACTTAGCTTTAACTGACCTGAAGCTATGGTATTTTTTACTCCTTGCCCTGGGCTGTTAATTCTCCTTATAGCTGATGGCACTGTAGGAAAACAAGAGTCTCTCATCCTCTGTCAATTCTTTCTTCATTAATTTCCTCCTATCACAAGCTCTATTACTTAAACCTTAACTAAAGCCCCTTGAATTACCCCAATAGCTCTCCTCAGCTATTCTTTCTTATTATTTTCCTGCTGCACGTTCAGAGGTGCAAACACAGGGCAGCCCTACCACCTCTTCAGAGACAAAAGGCTTCCTGTCTGCATCTTCTCCTGCTGTCTCCGTTTTACATCTCTTTTATCTATTCCTATAATCTGCAACCATGCACATTTGCCTCTCTTATTGTTCTGCTGAGCAATGTGACCAGATCAAACGAACACTGTTCCTCCACCCCGCTCCTATCGGTTGCAAAAGCCATTTGTTCATTTAATGAAATGAAAGTTTACAGTATTTTTCCCTAAAAAGAGCCTTAAGTCCCCACAGTTCATAAACGTTTGCTAAAAATTGATAGTGATGGGGGGCTATGATCTACTTCTGAGATCCCTTCTAACTCTGTCACACTGGCGTCCATGCAACATTTCCAAGGTAAGATGAGAACTGTTGAGCATATGACCAATAGCTGTAGTAGACTTGGTAGAAAAGATTCAGGCTCCTTCAAGGACAAACTGAGTGGGAATGCCCAGGAATTAGAATGATTTAGCTCACCTTCTCCACAACCTCTCCAAACCCACCGCTCTTCKGCTCTGAGCTGCTCCTCCATCTCCAGACTCCCCTCCTGAGGTCCCTACCCTGACTTCAGCCTCCTGCGAAGAAACTGGTGTCTCTCCATGGATTTTGTTCCCTTCCCTAGGGAAGAAAGAGAGGCTGGTGGTGGGAAGAAGTGTCCTGGCAACCTTTGGCAACCTCTTGATTGGAACTGCTGTGTGATCTTGGCTGTGGTGGTCACATCTTGGGTGATGCCAGGTTTGAGTGGGGTTGGAGGTCCCCAGTCCTGAAGGCACGGGGTACTGCCACAAGAGTGGCCTCCAAAAGGAAAACATCAAGGACAAAGTTATAAAGGGAGATAACAAGAGCAGGATCTTCCAATCTGGGAACCTAAGCCATTTAACCATAACCTGTTTAGAGGTCTGTACCTCTAAGAGGAATAGAGTGTTTGTTTATTACAGTGCCGTTCTCTAGAATGCACTTGAGAGATTATCATTTGAAAGAGCTTACATACATGCACGGTATTATGACCATGATTTGATTACCATTCGAGTTTCTCCCATGGCTGCAAATGATGAAATCCTTTGTCCTTTTATTGAGAATAAATTGAGACATAGCATTAGTTATAAATTTACATGAAGGATCTCCTTTTTCTTTTTTTTTTTTTTTCTTTCTTCCCCATGTGTACTGAATTGCCTCTTGGAAATGTCCTCCTTTGTCCTCCAATTACACAAAGCAAACAAAATGAGACCGGTAATTTTCCACTGGTCCAAATACCCCACTCTTTACTATGTTTGCTCCACCATAATGTCATCARCGATGAATGCTCTTGCAGTTCACAAAGCAGCCATTAAAAGAGAAGCTTCTATGTCAAACTGAAGTCTTTAGAAGCGTTTTGTTCATGAAGAAACTTGGTTGAGAAACGCTCAGGGAATTTTTGTTGTCGTTGTTGTTTCCTAGCTCATTACAGATAATATTAATCATGTAGCTGAGGATCCTTTCATTTCCAATTTCCTTGATAAGTCTTCCAAAAAAAGTTTTCACATTTCAAACTGCAAACTTAATAGTGATTAGAGAATATAAAGGCTGTACAAACTCTGCTTCAGTATAGGCCCATCATTTTCCTTTCAAGTTTTGGCTCCAGCTGAAGAAAAAGGAGGCATATAGTTGGCTAAAACTATAGTTATTTTTATCTCTTTTGAATAAAACCACAATTATTTCACCCCAGGTCTCCAGCCATAACTATTTCTTTAGCAAAACGCAGTTCCTCTTCCTCCCAGTGACATTTCTGAGAGAGTCATCTCTTTATTCACAAACCTGCCTAACTTTTTGAAATCAAAAAAGATAGATAAGACAAGTAGGTTATAAAAAAAAAAAAGAGAGAGAGAGAGAGAGAGAGAGAGAGAAAAATTCATATTTACCTCTAAGGAAAGAACGAAAAAAAAACTCTTAGCAAAGTTCAGGTACTACAAACACTACCTCTGCCCACCTCATGCTGTCTCCTAGCTGCAGACAATAAACAACTCGTGAATTCAAGGCTCACAGAGGGAATTTTCCAGCTGAGCTCAGGATATTTCTAGGCTGGACAGACCTTCCTCATACTGCTGAGCTCTGTTTGCAAGATCAAAATCAACCGCAGAGTGTTCTTGGGGAGGGAGAAAGCAGACAAGGATAATCCAGATTACAGCTAAAATGGTCCAGACCTGGGTATGAATAAAGGGAGGAAGCACCTACTGAAAAGCACAGGGACACCTAAGTGGGACAGGAGTAATGACCAAGAGGAAAACTTTTGGGGCCAAATCTTTTGTGCAGAATCTTGTAATTTCCATGCTCTTTGCATGGGGTGATTGAGCTCATGTCTCTAGCAAACTTCCTGAAAACAGTTTGCTTTGCCCGATACATCTTAAAGCTAGGCAGGGGCTGRCAGAGCAATTCTCTGCATGCACCAAAAGGCTGCAGGCCCAAGACCAGGAAGGCCACCTCTCATCAGCAAGGCACCAGCTTGCAATAGCAGACACAAGAACTTCTGCTAAAGACTCCTCATTGTATGAGGAGTTTGGTGTTCTCATTAATCAATCATTAATTAGTGCAGAAATAGCTCCTATACTCGTCCCCATGCTGAGAGGAGAGAAAGGAGGACTCCTTTCCAAGTCAACCCCCTGAGGAGGTCTGGAGCATGCTTCAAGGCTCTCCCAGCTATGTGCCGGGCTGCAGATTTAGCACTTCTTTAATGTCATGCTCTTTGATAATGCTCTTACTGGTAATCACTGTTTGCCTTGGCTCATTCTCAGTTATGACAGTGRAAGAATGGGATTGTGGCAGGCTCGGAAAAGGTCAGGAGACACAGTGCACCTGGCCACCAAGCTAGCAAGCGGACCGGTCTGCTGAAGCAGGGTGTCCATTTTTGAGGTGATGAAGCTCCCTTAGGAGACCCCAAGGGTKTTTCTGCCTGGAGCAGGGGGCCCTTACTGGCTTCTGCTTCTCCTCATTAAGAAAGAAGCTTCTCATTTTGGGTTGAAGTGTAAAGCCAGAGCAGACCCTAGAAGTGAATGCCACCTTCTTCCCCATTAGCTGAAGCACTTGTGTTCACCAGAAGTAGATGGAAAAGGCTGACTGCAGAATCACTTTGGGACAAGTTTCATCTTGAAAGCGAAGCGGTTAGCAAGGGGAAAGATATGGGAAGGCAAGGCAGGTACCCCATCACTTTTGTTATGTTACACTGACCTCAGAAACTCAAAACCAAATCCCTYCCTGCTCCATTCAGCTATTACGGAGATAGCAATTTCTGCAAGATAGTCAAAAATTAAAGCTGAAGATCTTCCATGAGAGCCCCATCACAGGCAAGAGCTGTCTGCTTACAATGTGGGCTCAAATCATCACTCAGATTTGTGCTGTGCTGTCAGACTTCCTGAAGTTTTTTCAATCCCAGAGCCCTTGGGCACAGCTGAGATGAGCAATTTCTGGCTTTGTTTGGAAGATGAACCACCTTTTTTCCATGAAGCTGGTAATAATAAGACACGCATGGGTGACCTACCCATTAAATTTTCATGTCAATTCTAACTGATCCTCACCACTGCTAGTGGTCTGGCCCTGTAGAGCTGGGGCACCTGGGTGGTGTTGCCCAGTCAGCTCAGCGATGGTCCTTCCTTCTGCCTCTTTGGGAAGCACTAACAGTCGTGACTGGCTCCCACTCATTGGTTTGGG